CCTTTGGTTTAGCCGTTTCGAGTTTTAATTCCATTCAGTTCTACTCAGCCGGACTCTCTTCATAACTATCGCATCATCAATCTCTCTTCGTTTTAATTTCGATTCAAAATGGCGGTGTCTATCTCAGTCTATCCACCTCGCATTCTCTCTTTATCTCTTTCTTTCTTTCTTTCTTTCTTTCTTTCTTTCTCCCTTTCTTTCTTTCTCTCCTTTTCTCACTCTATCTCAGCCACTTCATATCTATCTATCTATCTATCCATCTATCTATCTATCTATCTATCTATCTATCTATCTATCTATCTCATCTATCTATCTCAGCCTCTTCATTCATTTCTTTCATTCTTTCTTTTCTATCTATCTATCTATCTATCTATCTAAGCCTCTTCATTTCATATCTATCTATCCATCCATCTATCTATCTCATTCATTTCATCCTATCTATCTATCCATCTATCTATCTATCTATCTATCTCAGCCTCTTCATTTCTATCTATCTATCTATCTATCTATCTATCTATCTATCTATCTGCTTTTTTCTCTTTTTATCGATCTATCTTTGCAGATCCACTGAGCAATTGAATGAATTTTCCCCATTTCTCTCTCGCCTAACCCTTCCTGATCTCACCCTCCTTTATCATAGTCTTTAATGCGTAAAATATTATATTTGTACAAACAGACAAATGTTCCTATTTTACGCACGCACGGTCTTCAGAAAGGTTATCTTACTCGGGCTGGAAATGGATGAAGCTATTACGCCAATCATATCTGATCTCAGACGATCTCAATCATAGTCCAGATACCAATATTAGCCAACGGCGGTAAATAGCAAAACTATATTTCAGTGTCTTGCAAAGCTACCATCGTGTGTGCCAATGGCGTGTCCTGTAAAATAGGTTGGTTACGCAACAAACACTCAGGATTTTATACGAAAATCTATTTTTTTTTTTAATTAATTTGTATTATTAACCCCTTATCTGCCAATTATTTTAAGAAAAAACTTCATTTTCAAACCAAGTTTTAATTTGTTTTTATATAGTAACTAAGAAACTGAGGTACCTTGAAGTACCCGAGCGGTGGCTAACATCCCTACGAGACGTATGCGTTGACATTTGAACTCGTTTCAAGCTCAGAAGTGCATAAAAAGGATTAAGACCGACTATGAACTGAGGCAACTTGAAGTACCCAAGCGGTGCCTAACACCTCTACCAGATGTATGAGTTGACAATTGGACTCGTTTCAAGTTCTGAGCTTGAAACAAGTCCAATTGTCAACTCATACGTCTTTTATGCCCTTCTGAAGGGCATAAAAAGAATCAAGATAGACTATGAACAGAGGCACCTTGAAGTACCTGAGCGGTGGCTAACACCTCTACCAGAAGCATGAGTTGACAATGAGGACGTTATGTTATGGACGTGTGTATTTGTCAATGTCTAAGAAAAGAGACCCTTGCTAAAACTTATATACATGGTTTAATACTAGCTGTATACCCGTTCTGCACGCAGAGAAAAGTTAAGATGCAATGGTTCCCTGACTCTAAAATTTATGAACATTTGGCTCTGTTTAACCATAACCTTATTGCCCGTAAAAAATAACACCCCCACCATTGCCAAAAAAACAACAAAAAAAAAAAAAAAAATAAAAAAAGATAAAAAACAAAGAAAGTGTGAATGAAAAGGACGGTTATTCCCATGACACTTCTATTATATATAAGTAGCTCCAATGATTCGCTAAAAAACGAGCATACCATGATGAAAAAATGCTGGAACTTAATTAAAACAAAGTTTTATTGTGGGTAATAAATTTGTCTCAAAAGATTTGATCATCTTTCTTGTGACAAAAGACATTGAATTGGAAATTCTTGCAAATAACTTATAACTGTCGGATATTAATGAAACATTCAAGCCTTAGTCAGAAAATGAATGAAATTATTTTTTGAATGCTTCATCTTTTAAAAATCTCAGTAAAAATATTTTTTTACATTTTTAATCTACCCTTATTTGCCTTTAATCCACCCTTATTTGACTTTATAATCTTACCTACGAAGATGCATCTTGAGGAAATATTAGAAAATTAACGATAAATTTTAAATCTACTATAGTTACCGCTTTTATTTTCTGATGATGACTTGTATGGACACTCATATTTATAAAAATCGGCACGTTTATGCACATACAAAAAAAAAAAAATAAATAAAAAATTCTTTTTAAAATATTGGGTGTCTCTAAATTGTACTATGCCTTTCCATTTACGATTTGTAAATATAGTTTTTACTTAATAACATTTATCTTCCAACCTCTACAAATAGAAATGATATTGATTAACATCTCAACTTTTTGCTCACTTTCAGTAAAATCATTAAAATCGGCCATTTTTTGACACATTTCATAACAAATGTTAATTCTCAGTTTTAAAAATCTTCCAAAAATAAAATATACTTTTCTGAAACTTTATTTGAGGACTATTTACAGTATAATTAATCTGATTTGAAACAAGTATTCACTTTCAGTTGAAAATAACTCAGAAATAGATTTTTATTTACGTGTTTTTCATTGCTTGTCAACTTCTGAAGGTGTTGACATGTTTATTGTTGTTCTTCAAGACTTTATCTGTTAAAACATAATTTAAACAAATGACGGGTGAGCGCCTTTTTTATATAATTTTTAAGTACTCAGTAATCATAAAAATGTTGAAAAATATTCTCCGTAATCAAATTTTAGGAATGTTGACTTTAAATTTACAATAGTTATATATATATATATAAAATTGTTTTTAAATTATTTTAATTTAAGTTTGGATTAAAAGTAAACAAATATATATATATATATATATATATATATATATATATATATATATATATATATATATATATATATATATGTTGAAAAGTTCTCAGTTCGACAAAAGAAACTTAAAAAAATCTGATATTTTTCATTTGATCAGACATTGGGAATTGGTTCTTGCCATGAATATTTTATTACTTACACAATCATACATACTTTTTTTTAGATCATACACATATGCACATATATATTTAGAGAGAGAAAGAAGGTGGAGTGCGAGAGTGGGGAGATAGGGTGATGGTGAGATATACGTATATATTTGTGTAAGTAATCTTACTATTTCTGTATAATCAATATGTTTTAAGTTTGTTTTTTCTTCAGTTTTGTCTAGAATATTAACACACCCACTTTCCTCACCCACTCTGGTTCCAGACGCGATCCATCGATTCTCTCGAATGGTAATAACTGAAATATGTCCATTTCTACCTTTTACCCACCCGTCTTTTAGTCCGTCTCTTCTTACCCGGCCAAGAACTCACCCGACCAAAGATAATTCCATCTCTCTAGTTCTTATGCCGAAATCACGAATAGATTGCAAATGTGGAAAACAACTTAAAATTGATAAAAAAAAATCTTTGGCTGTAAATACACTGGGTCCGGTCGAGAGATAACCTGTGGCCATTAGTTGTCTGGCCGGTGAATAATACAGGCAGAAATGAAGTGAAACGTTCGCTATGGACGTCAAATCTTTTTCTGTTTCTTAAATGAATTTGAACAGCACAGAAAATAAGGAAAATCTGCAGACAAGCAATGTTTCTATGCTTCCTGTAACAATTAGTGAAGCCTCTCAGAGACTCACTGAAAAACCCTTTTGTTATGGAGTGGTTTCACAGTGGAGGCTTGTATTTGTACTAAGTCTGTCCTAAAATAGGTTCGACGTACAAAACGTTGGGAACTTGATATAATAGGTAATGACGCAGAGAAATCTAGTCGTGGTCGCTGATACTTTAATATCCGACTAACGGTCGTCCGACATCGACTGACTGACCAACTCACTGAGCAACTGCTAACCCTCGTTACTATTACTACTACTACTTATTATAAGTGGGAGAGTCTATTAACTAAAGAATAGGTGTGTTCCAATATAACACCTTTGAGTAATTCAGCTAAATATAGAGCATGTTAAAATCATTTTTTGTCTTTCCAACTGAGCAATGGTGAGAGGAAAAGGATCATTGAGGCCTTCAGTAATGGTACCAACATTCATACTCTGGCTTCCATCTTCAAAGTTCATTCAAGAACTATCAAGAGAACGGTGAATAAGTTTTAAAAAGAAGGAAGAGTAGAGTGGAAAACTGGATGAGGAGGTTGCAAAAGCAAGAGGGATCATCATTTCAACTAAAGCTAAAGATATCAATTAGAAAAGATCCAACTCAATCCATAAAATGTTTGGTATGTGAGATAGGAGTTTCAGCTGTGACAATCCAAAGAGCAGTGAAAAAAGACTTGACAATGAAATCATACATGAAATGTGTGAGGCACCTTGTTACTCCAAGACAGAAAGTTAGAAGGTTAGAGAGGGCGAAGATCGTCCCGAATAAGTTGGAAAATGATCTTGGAATAATATATATATATATATATTTGAACTTTATTTTAATCCTTCATGAGCTTCCGATCATTAGCTATGATTAATTAATGATGAACATGTTATTTTCATTTATGATCACAATTCTTCTTTTAAGCTTGGAGAGTAATTATACATTCTTATTGCTCAAAGTAGAGTCCAGTAGTGTTATAAAAACCTCGGAGAATTCCAGTAAGATATCTTTAATCATTTCTAAGATACAAAGGTTCATAGTTTAATTTAAGAATTGGACAATTTTGCTGTTACATGATTTGAACATTTTGGCTGTAACACCCAGTATAAGAAATGAGCAACACTGTCTCACCAAAACACTCTGCTGTTGTTGGCTGCTGTGGAAAGCTGTAAACAACGTGTGGCGCTACCCTTTGAACTGTTCGGCAATCTAATGGCCGCTGATTTAAAAAAAAATCCCACTATTAAGTTCTGGGTTATTCTAAGTTCCTTTCTAAGTAGATCAAGTTTTCCTAACAGTTCAAATAGATTCTTCTGACGTAGCTTATCAAATGTTTTCTGTAGTCTATAAAACACGAGTTTGTTTTGTTTATTTAATGGCATATTAACATCTTATGGGTCATTTAATGCCAAAATTTAAGTTTCTTGTGAGATTTGAAGTAATAAAAATATGATATATGTTTTTCTGCTTTCACAATTGAATACAAGCTAGATTGGTGTGACCAAGTAAATAGTTAAGTAATAACAAATACCAGTTTTGCAGATATATCGTATATTACAGTAAGTACACCAGAAGAGTATTACACGACTAATGAGAGTGTATCGTATGAACTAGCATTCAATCTACTCGCTGTTCCCTGTTCCTTCTCTCCTACTAATTTTATAGTAGGCGGAAGAGTCTAACATAGACTCTTAGAGGGAGGACACCACAACATAGATGATACTCAGCTTTTATGCATATACATGTTTGTGTGGACATAATGACTAGAGGTGGTGATATGTGTGTTTTATGTTGTAGTTTTTTTGAAGTTATATTTTGGAATACAGTTGGATTTCTTTAAGAAATTGTAGGATATTATATGGATTACTGTCATGAAAGAGATCTTTCATGTTGGTTATTTGGTTGGTTGATTTTGTTTAGCGGCATATCGACCCCTCTATGGCTTATTTAATGCCGAAACGTAAATATTTTGA